GTTATGACTGAAAGTCTTCTGTGTCTCTGTAGTCGGTGCCCCCTTGCCCAGTCTGCACAAAAATGCTGACCTATATCTTGTCAGTGTTGGGTAGTTTAGTCTGGTCTCTCTAGAGTTTCAGTAAACGAATAACATAGACTACACTCTTTTGTGTTGGCATTTTTTTTTTACTTAGAATGTTTTTGAAATCTAGCTAGAGTATTGCATACGTTGGTCTTTTATTTCTTGTCAAATAATAACCATTGTGTTTATTCACGGCTCTGTTGTTGGACATCTACATCTATAAGCATATCAAGAGCATTTGAACACAAATCTCTTTGTTGACATATATTTTTATATTTCCCAGGGTATAGTTAAAAATCTAATTGCTTGTTCATATAGTCAGTGTCTGTTTACCTTTTGAGAAACTGCCAATCTATTTTCCAAAAGGAAGTTAGCATAATTGAGTTTTGCCAGAAATGTATATGTTTCACTTAAACCATGTCTTTGCCAATACTTATTATTGTTGGTAGTTTGAACTTGTGTAGTTGTTTTTTCACTCTTTTGGGGAATCACCATCCAGCTCCTAAATAAGTCACACAGGGAGGCTTATTCTTAATTATGAATGCCTGGCCTTAGCTTGGCTTGTTTCTTGCCAGCTTTTCTTAAATTATCTCATCTACCTTTTGCCTCTGGGCTTTTACCTTTCTCTATTTTTGTATACCTTTCTGTTTTACTCTGTTGCTGGTTGTGTAGCTCAGTGGTTGGCTCCTGATGTCCTCCTCCTCTCAATCCTAGATCTCTCTTCTCCCAGATTTTTCCTACTATACATCCTCTCTGCCTGCCAGCCCCGACTGTCCTTTATCCTTCCTTGCTATTGACCATTCACTGCTTTATTAGACCACCAGGTGTTTTAGACAGGCACAATAACACAGCTTCACAGAGTTAAACAAATGCAACATAAACAAAACTAACACACCTTAAAATAATATTCTATAACAAATGTTAGCCACTCTGTGGGTATGTGGTGATTTTAATTTGTATTTCTTGGGTGAGTAAACTTTATTAAGTCTTTTGCATATTCCATCCATGTCTCTTCATCCATCTTCTTCCTGGAATATATGTTCAAATATTTCCTCACCTTTAAAATGAAATGTCTTCTTATTGAGTTCTCTCTATATTTTAGGAACAGACCTTTTGTGAGATGTATGTTCTATAACTATTTATCCAAGAGTAATGATTGCTCTTTTAGTTTCTTGGTGATATTATTTTGTAGGCATGAGATTTGAATTCTGAGGAAGTCTAATTTATATAAAAAGATTTTTATAATTAGTTGGTTAGTTTTTTGCTTGTTTGCTGTTGTTGTTGTCAAAGAAAAAATTTACCTCAAAACTGTGAAGATCATCTCTACAATTTGGTTCAATTTAAAATTTTTATCTTTAATATTTATGTACAACATGAAGTTGAGATCAAGGTTCATCTTCTTCTATGGATATCCTTTTTCCACTGACTTGGCAGGTTTCTTTGACCTTCTGTGTGGTTGGTTTCTGGACTCTATTCTGCCTCATTAAGCAATGTGTTTGCCCTGGCAGCATAGCTACCACAATGCAATGACTGCTGTAGTCGTGTGGTAAGTCACTGAAACCAAACAGGCCTCCAACTGTATAGCCCTTACATTTTTTTTCTTACTATCCCAGGATTTTATCTTATTTTATTTTATTTTGATACAAAAATCTTAATTCCTCTTTAATCTTTTTTTTTTTAAATTCTTCTCTCATACAATACATCCTGAGTGCAGTTTCCTCTTCCTCCACTCCTCCCAATTTTCCCTCCCAACTCCCCTCTCCCCCAGATCCATTCCTCATCCACTTCCCTTCAGAAAGAGCAGGCCTCCCAGAGACATCAACCGAACATGGCATAACAAGATGCGGTAAGACAAGGCATAAACCCTCACATCAAGGCTGGAGGCAACCCAGTAGGAGGAAAAAGGTCCTAAGAACAGATAAAAGAGTCAGAGACATGCCCGACTCCCGCTGTTAGGAGTCCCACAAGAACACCAAGTTCCATGGCCATGACATATATGCAGAGGACTTGGCTCAGTTCTGTGCAGGCTCCATGATTGCCTCTTCAGTCTCTGTGAGGCCCTGTGAGCCCTGCTTAGTTGATTCTGCGGGACACGTTCTCCTGGTGTACTGAACCCCTCTGGCTCCTACAATTTTCCCTTCCCCTCTCCCTCAGAATTCCATGAGGTCTGAGAGGAGGGACCTGTCTGTTCCAAGATTTTATAATTTTATACATCTAGAGTCAGGTAGTCAGCTCTTCAAAAAAAAAAAAGCTTATTGGGATTTTGATTAGGATTCCACTTGAGATGAAGGTCATTTAGGAGGACAATAAACATGTTGATGGTATTGGGTTTTCCAATCTATGAACCTGAGATAGTCTTCTACTTATTTAGATTTTTTTTTTCAGAAGTATTGTTTGGTGTTCAAGTCTTACTCATATTTCATTAAAGTTCCCCTAAAACATTTCAGGTTCTGTCAGGAGTATAACTTACTTTTCACTTTCAGTTTTCAAATGTCTGTGGCTGGTAGATAAATGCACTTGACTTTGATAAAGTGACTTTGTATCCTGTAACCTTGTCATGAGTACTTAATAGTTCTGGTAGCTTCTTTGTGGAGTTAGGCTTTTCTAAACACGTCATATTGTTTGTTTGTTTGTTTGTTTGTTTTTCAAGACACAGTTTCTCTGTGTAGCTTTGGAGCTTGTCCTAGAACTCACTCTGTAGCCCAGGCTGGCCTCGAACTCACAGAGATACACTTGCCTCTGCCTCCTGAGTGCTGGAATTAAAGACATGTGCCACCACTGCCCAGCCATATTGTTTGTGAATAAAGACTTTATAGGCAGACTCATTCAGCTTTATGCCTTTATTTTTATTTTCTAATCAAGCCCCAAAGCACTGCCCTTTCTCTTCTTTTGGCAGTGCTGAATTTTGCTTGACTCTCTTGCCGCGTCTACAGAAGCCATTTGAAAACTTGAAGCAGAGATGGTGTATCAAAAACCTCTTAGTCTGACACTTGGCACCCTGACTGTAACATGTTCTTTTCCTGTGTCTCCTCCGTCTGTCCACTGTCACCATACATGAGACTTTTTGTGTCCCCAGAGCCTAGCAATGCTTCACACTCAAAGTTGTTTAACTGATATTTATCAATGATTAATAAATGATTATATATTAAGATCTACTCATGATGGATTCAGCTATATGGTAAAGAAATTCATAAAAAGTTGGGTTTTCAGTTGGGTGTGGCTACAGATACCTGTAATCCCAGCACTTGGAAGTGGTGGAAGGAGAATTGGAAGTTCAAGGCCATCTTTGGCTACACAGGAAGTTAGAGGCAATCTTGGGTTTCATGAGATTGCTTCTCACAAACAAAAACAAAACAAAGGTAAAATATTTTGTAAATTTTTTTCTTTTTGCCCAGAACATTTTCATTCAAATGATGTAATCTGTTGGTACAATCTAACTAGCCTGCTATTGAGTGGGTGGATTTGCATATTTTTCTCAATTGAAAACAATGTTTGTGTCCAGCCCTCGATTTCTCACTTGAATACCTCAGCTGGGAACCTCGGACAGTCATTCACAAGCTCTGGGAGCCCAGTCCTTTTCAGGCACAGGCAGCTCTAAGGCTGCTGCTGATTTCTGCTTTTAGAGCTGCCAGAGGGGTCAGGTGAGGCATGGGAACACTGGGTACCTCCAGCAGCGGGATTGATTTCATCTGGTTCGTAGCCAGCCTTCTAAAATTAACCATGGTAAAGCTGAAAGGCTTTTAGAAAGTAGTCAGCGAGATTATCCCTCCAGACCAGCAGATGGGTCTAATCTTCCATGAGGGGAGACCATCTCCACTGTGAGATGGCCACTCTGCCTGTAACCATTTCTGCTGGGCCTGAGCTCTGGAGTCCCAAGGACAAGTAACTACCCCGCAGACCTTTGCTTACTGCAGAAAGTCAGCTCTCTACAATTTAGAGTTCTCTCACCCAGATATTTCTACATGGTCCCAGGGGTCCTTGCATATTTCCAAATGTGTGAACCACTGCTGTCATTTGTGGGTACGGTGCTGTTCGGTCAACTCTTATCTTCAGACTAAGTAGACTGTGGCTCTCTACCCTCTTTGGTGTTGCAGCCTCCACGGAAGTAAGGATGGAAATGGGCATAAACTAAGTAAGAGGAATAAGTGTCACTCACTGTCAGAGGTCGAGTCCCAATCCTAAATTATGGGGCCTTTAACTGTCCTAACAGATGACAAGGAGTGGGGTTTGTGGCTTTGTTTCTGTTTGTTATTCTCAGAAACTATCAGGCTTAGGTTGCAGAATGTTAATGCTTGACCAAAAAAAAGGGAAAAAAAAGAAAATACACCAATACTAATGAATAAATAAACTTACCCCAAACTGCATTTTTACAAACATCAGTTTTAAGGACTCCCATTATGTTACTGAAAAGTAGCATTTCTATTTTCTAAGCTATTTTCCAATTACTAGGCATACAGAATGCTTGTTTTTGCTATTATCTGTAATGTTTCGATGACTAGACATTAAGTTTTGCCATATTTAGAAGTATTTTTCTGGGGTCGACTCTGAGAACTGTGGTCTAAAGGTATTTGCCTGTCTTTATATGCTTCCTGAGACAGACCACCTAGTTGGTTGAAGGCAGGTCTTTTCAGAGAGAGAGCAATGACTTCTCAGTTATAAGTATGTAGATATCATTTGTTCTGTGACACATGAGAACATGAGAAATGAGACTGAAGATGACAAGGTTATGGCAGTGAGAAAGATGACAGACCACAAGATCTTGGCTTCTAGAGAGTTTGAATCAGGCTATGTTGGTTGTACCAACTTCTTACTCCAAGCCTGTCACTGATATATCTGGGGGACTCAGAGTTTTGCTACAAAAGATTTCTACTTTTCGGGGGAAGGACTCTGTTGACCTCCCTGTATGAATGGAGTCTTAGTTGTGTGGTGACTTGCAGCATCCACCAGCTGAGGAGCAAAGTGTCCGAGGAGCATGACATTCTCAAGAAGAAAGAGTTGGAGTCGGGGCCTAAAGCATCCCATGGCTACGGAGGTCGGTTTGGAGTGGAAAGAGACCGGATGGACAAGGTGAGTAGAAAAGGAGAGATCTATTTTAAAGAAAAAAAAATAATAATAAAAAGCAAAGTACTAGCTTGTGGGTGCTTTGGTTTAAAATTTGTTCTAAATATGGTGTTCCATTTCGGCTTTAAAGCAGAGTATCTATGTGCTATTTATATCTTTTTTGCCCCCAATCTCAACACACAAGATATGGATGGCAGAGAACAATCAAGACGTTAGAGCAGCTGGCCTGTTACAGCTCCAAGTATACCATGACCCTGTGTGATGGACAGTTTGCACTGTCAACCTGACACAATCTGGAACCACCCGAGAAAAGAGCATCAGTGAAGGACTGTCTAGGTCAGACTGACCTGTGGGCATGTCTGTTGGGGAGTGTTTTCATTACTTTTACAGATGTGGGAAGCCCACTATGGGCGGCACCACTCTCTGGGCTTGGGTCCTGTGTTGTAGAAGAGTAGAAATGGAGAGGTAAGCAGTAAGCGTACATGCCCTCATTCTCTCCCTGCTCCTGATTGTGGATGTAACTGGCTCCTTCAAGTTCCTGTCTTCCCCAATGTCAAGGACTGGAACCTGGAATTGTTTCTAAATACAACCTTTCTCCTTTAAAGTTTCTTTTGGGTGTTTTAATCATAGCAACAGAAACAAACAACCCTTTTGGGATTCACATATCAGATATCCTGCATATCAGATATTTACATTGTGATTCATAATAGTAACAAAATTACAGCCATAAAGTAGCAATGAAATAATTTTATGTTTGGGGGTCACCACAGCCGGCACAAGGAACTGTATTAAAGGATCACAGCATTAGGAAGGTTGAGAACCACTGCTTTACTGTATTGTGTGATTATGTGTGTGTGCATGTCGTATGCATGTGTTGTATGTGGTGTATGCATGCGTGCAGGTTGTGGGGGGCAGGGGGGTGAGTGCATCTGTGTGTGCACAAGCGGAAGCCACAGCCAGGTGTCAAATGTCTTCCTCTGCAGCTCTTAGCCTTAGTGCCTTGAGACAGGCTCTCCTCTGAGTGTGAAGCTCATCATTTTAGCCAGGCCGATTGGGAAGAGAGCTCCCAGAATGCACCTGTCTCCACCCTCCCATGCTGGGGTTATAGGTCCTTGCAACCATGCCTGGCTTTTTTTGTGGGAGCTAGAGATTTGACCCTAGGTCCTCATGTTTGCAAAGCATGGACTCTTACGCACTGAGTCTCTCCTCAGTCCTGTAGTCATCTTTTATAAACACACTGAAAGCTTCAGAATTCACTTCTGAACTTTGGTTGTCCAAATGTGTAAAGATCTAGGACAAAGGTACCTGGGTGATGGAGTGAAAAAGGTCAGTGCCCTCTGATGCACCCAGGTTTTGCTCCTTTGTTTTTCTGTAATGCCCCTGTCTGAGTTCTCCTCTCTCTTTCTTTGGGTTCAACACTGCTCTGACTATCTCTTCTCTGTCTTCTGACTTCCGGTACAATCCTGGAGGCTTCTGGGAAGCGGCTCTCTAGCGATGTGAAAAAAGAACCTGGCATGGGCACGGCTCTAGAGAAAGTTACTGCATCCCCATCGTGGGTTCCTTGGCATCACTGTCAGAGGTTATGGATCTGACCCAGGATGGAATTTCTTGCATCCCAACATCCATTTGCCACCTCATCTATTTCTTAAGGTCACTCTGATCTTTTTGTACACCATTCCTGATTTTTCTTAGAGTGCTGTGGGCCACGAGTATGTTGCTGACGTGGAGAAACACTCTTCCCAGACTGATGCCGCCAGAGGCTTTGGGGGCAAATATGGAGTTGAGAGGGACCGGGCAGACAAGGTAAGTGACAGCTTTCTCCCTCTACCATAGTCCTTAAATTATGTGGGCCTCACCAACACCCAGTCCTAAATGTAGATCCATGCTTCTCAGGTGAAATCCAGGACAATGGAGGCCATCAGTGTCTGGTCCTGGTCCTGAGCTAGGATAGCTCTCATGACCTCTCTTAGCAGATTTGTTGGCGCTGGGGGCTGCATGTGGAGCATCATCATCCATTTAAATTTGCCAGGTCTGAGGTTGTGGTACAGCTCTGGCCTAGCAGAGGAGAGGCCGGAGATTCATCAGCAAAGCCTCATTTAGTCAGTCAATAGGCAAAGGTTCTTCAAACCCTAAATAAGAATTCCTCGAGGCATTAGCAGAGAAGAGAGAATTTCTCAAATAAGCAAATAAACCAGTCAATTAATTAGGATGACAGTGCTCTGAGAAGATGAAGGGTTAAACGATAATCTGTGAAGCTGAGTGTTGATGGAGATGTCTCTGAATACAAGAGTAGTTTTAAAGAGAGAAAAAAAAAACAGTTCTAAGTGAGCTCAGCTGATACAGTGGAAAGAGCAGAGCTGGGAATTCCTTGGTGCTTCAAATTCCAACTTGTGATATTGGTAACGGAATCCTTTTTCATGGCACAGGTTAGAGTCTCATTTGAAAGGGGAAGGGAATTTGGGGGTGGGGAAAGGAGAGGAGAAGGGAGGAGAGGGGGAGGAAGAGAGGAATGGTGTGGGAAATCTTCACACCTGGCTGAGAAGTGTTATTTTATTATTATTACCAGCAGGTAGGCCTGAGTCCACATTACGAAGTGCTAGGATGATAATTGTTTGCACTGTAGGAGAAAATACACCCAACACAAAACCAATAGCATTCAAAATATGATGTAAAAGAAAAAAAGTACAGAAAACAGGTTTAAAGACAATAATGTCATGCGGAGCACACATATGGTTCTAGAAACAACAGAGAATTTCCTGCTAAGTCTTGGCTCCCCTCCTGATTGCCTTTGTCCAGTTCTCTTATTGTTGTTATTTTACAAGCACAAATTGCATCACCTAAGCAATCCATGTGTCCATAGATCAAGAATCAGAGACTAGAGGTTGGGGAAGTAGCTCAGTTGGTAGCATGCTAGCCTAGGGTATGGGCACCACCCCAGCATCTCATAAACCAGGTACGTGGTACATGCTAACTCCTATGAAGAAGCAGAGGATCAGAAATGTATTGCCTGCTTGCCCTCCTTCCACAAGTCCATCAACTAAAGAATTGCAGGATGATAAGTGATGATAAGTGTGTATGCAGTCTACCACAGGTAAGATTTATAGCAGCAGAGACAGCATGTGACACACAAAGACAGAGCTCCCTGCATTACAAGGGGCATATGTCTAGAGAGGGAACATGATCTGCTTGCTCCACAGGGAGTCTGGGTTTATACACTTCTTAACAGGGTGTGGAGCAAAGCTCAGCTCCCCTTCTCCTTGAATCGGTCTAGGCAGGATGCATTTAATGCTGGTTGTGTCATTTTAAATAACAGCAAGGCCCTGACTAGGTGTGACACTGATGGAGACTTTTAAAATTGCAGAGAAGAAAACCCACAGGACTCTACAGGGCCTCCTCTTCAGTAGTCCACAATTGCAGTTAGCTCCTGACATGGAGTTTGCCCAGCCAAGCCTACCTAATGGGTTATCTGTGGCCCACAATGGGGTGGGGAGGAAGTCAGCTAGCTGGCTGGGAGTGAGCCCAGTGGCCTGCCAGAGAGGAAAAGCCTCAGCAATAGAGGGATTTCTTCTGGTTGAGAGTCTTGGAGCAAGCTGTCATGGATCTAAGGTGGAAACACCCAGGCATTAGCCTGATCTGATCCAGGATCTCTTTCCCTCGGCATCTGCTTATCCAAGAATTAACTTTCTTCTGTCTCCCCTCAAGTCCAAAGTCATCCTTGACTATAGAGAAAGTTTGAGGCCAGCCTCAGGTATGGGAGTTCCAGAGAAGGAGGGAGGAAGCAGATGGAAGAAGGGAGCAGGGAGACCAGGAGACTGGTTCTTAAGATGCAAAACCCATAGATGCTGAGCAAATAGGGACACAGCTCCAAGGATGTCTTAGTGTTGTCCTTTTTAAAATGGTTGCTGCCTTTTTGGCCACAGCTGTCAGAATCAGCAACTGCAACTCCATAGCTACCAGCAGTTAGGCCACAAGGGCTGTGGCCAGAGGGAGTTCTGTTTCCTCAGTTTCCAATTCTTGCAAGGGTACAGAGGGAATTTAACTAAAACCTCTGTCTCTCTAAAGAACTCAGGATTCAAAGGTTAAGGTAGAATTCTGCTCTTCAGAGAGGCTGACTAGCAAGTAGCTCACCTCCTCTCCTTGCTCACGTCCTGCAAACGTACTTCTCACCTCTCCTTAAAAACCCTTCCTGTCAGCTAGCTGAGTTCCCTCTGTAGCTTTGTCAGAGTTGGAGCCTGAGGGAACAGATTTCCTCCAGGCTATGGCCCTTGCAGCCTAACTGCTGCTGGTAGTGGGCGGAGTCGCAGTTGTTGATTAGGACAGCTGTGGCTTAAAAGGCTGAACTAATTTTAAGAAGGACAATAATTGGCACCCAATATGGGGTGCCAAAAAATGTTGTTATCAGTTCTTACTCTTTTGGGGAGGCCCACCCCCAAGCTCCCAAATAAAAATCACTCACTGTGGTTTATTATTACTTAAGAATGCCTGGCCTTACCTTGGCTTAGTTTCTAGCTAGCTTTTCTTAACTTAAATTATCCCCTCTACCTTTTGCCTCTGGGCTTCTCCTGGTCTCTCTCTCTCTCTCTCTCTCTCTCTCTCTCTCTCTCTCTCTCTCTCTCTCTCTGGGGTTCAAGATAGGGTATCTCTGTGTATTTTTGATGCCTGTCCTGGATCTCGCTCTGTAGACCAGGCTAGCCTCGAATTCACAGAGATCAGTCTGTTTCTGTCTCCCGAGTGCTGGGATTAAAGGCATACGACACCTCTGCCTGGCTTTTCCCAGTCTCTTACTTCTGTGAATCTTACTCCTACTCTGTGGCTTGCTGTGTAGCTGGGTGGCTGGGCCCTGGAGTCCTCCTCCTTCTCTGGCTCCTAGCTCCCCTCACTCCTCCATCTCTTTTTTTCCTCCTCCTCCCAGATTTCTCCTTCTATATATCCTCTCCGCCTGCCAGCCCAAATGAAGAGAGATGATCTCTCTTTTTACTGTGTAGTGGATAAGACACATTTAATAGTATTTAAAGGGACCAGTGCTCAGTGACTTTAAGGATTATTCCCAAAGCTGAACAACTACCAATGGGAGGAGTCGGTTTGGATCTCGAGTGGTCTATATCCAGAGGAGTGCTTTGTAGCACTGTTTCTACTTTAAACCTCCAAACCTAGCCACAGGTCTGAAACTGCCTCCGGGACTGAAATGAAAGTTAGGATCAGTCAGAGCGGGAGGAAGCAGACCCGGTCCCTAATCATCTCTCTCCTCTGCAGTCAGCAGTGGGCTTTGATTACAAAGGAGAAGTGGAGAAGCATGCATCTCAGAAAGGCAAGTACCCAGCACCTGGGCCACCTGGCTGGCCTGCTCCCCCTGCTCACACCCCACTTCCAGCAGCTTGTCATGGCTCCCTGCCTCCAGCCCCCCACTGTTGGGGCCACTTTTCAGTTCCAGTTATGAGCTGGCTTCTTTGGTTCTCCAATTCCTGCCATGAACTTGATCAAGTCTGCCTAATCCCTTCTTTCTCCTTTGTCCTAGAATTTTTTTACCTTTAAAATTTAACCCACACCTTTGATGAGGAAACAGAGAGTGAGCTGTCAGTGACTTGAGGCTATAAACCGGAGGTTCTCAACCTAAGTGTTGCTACCCCTTTTGGGGTGGGGGAGGTAAGGGGGTTTGAATGACCCTTTTATAGGAGTTGCCTATTAGATATCCTGCATACCAGATATTTGCATTATGATTCATAACAGTAGCCAAATTATAATTACAAAGTAGCAATGAAAATAATTTTATGGTTGGGGTCACCACCTGAGGAACTGTATCAAAGGGTCACAGTATTAGGAAGATTGGGAACCACTGCTGGAGAGTTTCATATTTTATGTTGTTTATAGTTATGAGGTTCACAGATTCACATGTTTGCTTAGTTTACTTTCCTTCATGGTCATTTATTTCTTTTATGATTTGTAATTTTATTTGTGAACATACTTCAGTGATAAAGGGGGTTACTTCCTTCTTATGGCCTCAGTTGAGGACAGAGAGTTCTTGTCCCTTTCTGGCCAAGGCTGAGAGGTGTTCATAGCTATGTGCTCATGGACCATTTTTTGTTTGTTTGGTTGGTTGGTTTTATAATTTTCTTTTTCATTGAGTTCAATTTCTTCACTAGATGTAGGTCTACTCAATTATTGTATTTTTTTCTTAAGTTGGTTATAAAATACTGGTTCTTTCTTTCTCTCTCTCTCTTTCTTTCTTCCTTCCTTCCTTCCTCCCTCCCTCCCTCCCTTTCTTTCTTTCTTTCTTTCTTTCTTTCTTTCTTTCTTTCTTTCTTTCTTTCTTTCTTTCTTACTTTCTTTCTTACTTTCTTTCTTTCTTTCTTTTTCCAGAGCTGTGTACTGAACCCAGGGCCTTGCACTTGCTAGGCAAGCACTCTACCACTGAGCTAAATCCCCAAGCCCTAAAATGCTGTTTTTTAAGAAATTATCACATGTTGTCTAGATAGTGTAATACATTATAATATTTCCTTATGTTCTTTTTAAGCTTTGTAAAATCTGTTGTTATTGATATGCTCACTTTCATTTTGGATATAGTTTTTTTTCTTGTTCTTAATAGATCATTTTTGCTAGAGGTAATAAATATTATTTTTTAAAGATATAACTCTTAGCTTTTCTAATTTTCTCAATTGTTTATATGTTCTAAAAATATATTAGGCTTTGACTCCTCATTATTTTTCCTTATATTTAATGTACGCTTTGCTTTCCAATATGGGTAAATTACACATTTCCTCTCAATACAACTTATGTTGTACCCCACTAATTCTATGTGTATTTTAATTTTAATTAAATATAAAATATTTTCTAACTTTCCTAGTGAATATTCTTTGACTTGTAAGTTATTTGAAAGTATATACTTCTGTCTTCAGGTTTCTATTGCTATGAGAAGATAGCATGACCATGGCAACTCTTTTTTCTTTCTTTACTTTTCCTTTCTTTGTTTTTGTTTTTATTGTTGTTGTTTTTGTTTTTCGAGACAGGGTTTCTCTGTGTAACAGCTACTGGAACTAGCTCTGTAGAAGAGGCTGGCCTTGAACTCACGGGGATCTGATTGCCTCTGCCTCCCAAGTGCTGAGAATTAAGGCTTGCGTCACCACTGCCTGGCGAAGCATGTATGTCCTCAGGCATGCGGAAGCCAGAGGTCAATGCTGGGTGATTTCTTTGAACACTGTCCTCCTTAACTATGGAGACAGGGTCTCTCCTTGAACCTGGAGATCATAGATTTGACAAGATCAGCAGGTCACCAAGCTCCAGGCACCTTGTCTCTGCCTCTGCTGCTCTAGAATCACAGGCGTACACTGTCACACTTAGCTTTGTGTCTGGGCACTTGGGACCCGAACTCGAGTCCTCATATTTACATGACACTGTACTGACTGACTCATCTCCCAACACCATCCATGTATATATTTTCTGAGATCAGTATTTAAGTTAATTTCTTAGCTTAGAATTCATGAATTATATAATTGAAGAAAAAATGAGTAGTTACATTCCACACTCAGAGGTAGGACTAGAGTTCCAAATGTTGCTGGTAAAATTTCCCCTTGTCAGAAACTGAAAAAACTACAAGACACCTTGACATTTCCTGGACAAGTAAGCAGCACTTTTCTAAACTTTATTTTGTTTGAGGACTGGGCAGAACCCCCTTCCCAGCTCCCATACCCACTCTTGAATAGATTTTAGAGCCACAGACCCTAGGTCCTAATCCCAGTTCATTAAGTTTTGTCTTTACAGCACTTGGGGCTTCTATGATGTCTGCTCACAGTCATCCTTGAACTTGTGTGCTCCAACTCTTGTGTTTCTTTCTGGAGGCAGGGTTATTTCATCCTTCTCTATCTTCCTTCTTTCCATTCTCCTCTTGTTCCTCTTCCTTTTCCTCCTCCTCTCCCTCCTCATCCTCCTGTTTGAGTTTCACTACTTAGAAAATGACTATCTTCAGCTGAGATTTCTCTGTTTCTATGGGGTGGAGGAACAGCGCACATCTCCTATGTCTGTGTTTTCCTCCAGAGATCACGTCTCACATTCTCTACACGTAGCCTTTCCGTGAAGAAGGGAAAATACTGAGGGGGTCTTCCTGTCTTGGGATGGAGGTGAGGGAGTCGTCTCTCTCTGGGCTCTGAGCCTTTCCCAGCCCTCTCCCTCTGCTCTCTGTCCTATGGACTTCTCTCCCTAGTGTCTCCCAGTGGCCCGAGGCTGGGCTCTCAGGCCTCCCATGTCTATTGCAGATTACTCCCATGGCTTTGGTGGCCGCTATGGGGTGGAGAAGGATAAACGGGACAAAGCTGCTCTAGGCTATGACTACAAGGGAGAGACAGAGAAGCATGAGTCTCAACGAGGTAAGTTGGATTCAGAGGAGGGAGGTCACTAGGGAGCACAGAGTCCTCTTTCCTTCCCTTCTGCAAGCTGGTCCAGGGTCCCAGAATAAAGAGAGGGATGTGGAGAGTCAACATGGATGGAAAGACAGCAGGACTGGAAGCAGGACAGAGAAGGGGCAAGGAGGAAGGGGGTTGGGGAAGGGGTGGAGCCAGGCTGGGTGATGGGCATGAGGTGGCTTGGTGTGAGCAGCACAGGCCAGTCAGCCTTGGTGAGGACAGAGAGCTCTTCCTTGGGACACAGCAGGGGGGGCTGGAAGGCTGCCTTGTCTTCCTGTGGATTCCCTTGTGTTTTGCCCTGGCTGGCATTTCTCTTGTTTTCCCCTTTCCACCTCTGTCTTCTTTCTCTCCTGAGTCCCCCACCCCCACCCTCAACCCTCTCCCTTTTCTTCCCATCATCCATGTATCTCTCTGACCTCTGACATTTCTTCCTCTTCCTCTGCCTTCACATGCCTGTCTCCCAGCCCTTCTGCTCCCTCTCCCCACCCACTCCAGTAGTCTAGTCTCCTGTTTTCACTCCCAGAATTTTCTTTCCTACAGACTATGCCAAGGGCTTTGGTGGCCAATATGGAATCCAGAAGGACCGAGTGGATAAGGTAAACACAGGACACCATGGTCCCAAGAGTGTCTCTATGGTAAAGGAGGTACACAGAGATGTTGTTGGTTGTTTTGGCTCTTTTTGGGGGGCCCACCACCATGCTCCCAAATAAATCACACACGAGGGAGGCTTATTATTACTTTTGAATGCCCAGCCTTAACTTGGCTTAGTTCCTAGCCAGCTTTCCTTAACTTAACTTATCCCATCTTCCTTTTGCCTCTGGGCCTTTTCTGGTCTCTTACTTCTGTAAATCTTACTCTTATTCTGTGGCTTTCTGTGTAGCTGGGTGGGTGACCCCTGGAGTCCTCCTTCTTCTCTGTCTCCTAGCTCTCTTCATTCCTCCATCTCCTTTTCTCCTCCTCTTCCCAGATTTCTCCTTCTATATATCTCTCTGTCTTCCAGCCCGGCCTATCCTTTCTCCTGCCTTGCTATTGGCCAGTTCTTTATTAGACCATCAGGTGTTTTACACAGACACAGTAACACAGCTTCACAGTTAAACAAATGCAGCATGAACAAAAGTAACACACCTTAAAATAATATTTTACAGTATATTAGATCTTGGGACCAACATGGATCCCATCCCACCAAAAGGCATGTCTTGCATCCCCCTGAGGCCATGCTGAGACCAGCAGGGTTAAGTGGGAGTGAGGTGACTAGCCCATATGCACACACAGCTTCCGGTTTACAAGGGCTTTGGTACCCATTGTCTTGTCTTAGTTTGTGCGCCTCACTTAGGGAAAACAGTGCTGACTCCCTGAGTAATTCAGTACAGACACTGTATACGCCTTGTTCTGTTGAGCTGTCATAGTATTCCAAATGAAGAGAGACGATTGGAATCTCTCTTTTTACTGTGTAGTGGATAAGACACATTTAATATTATTTAAAGGGACCCGTGCTCAGTGACTTTAAGGATTATTCCCAAAGCTGAACAACTGCCAGTGCGAGGACTGCTTTGGAGCACTGTTTCTACTTTAAACCTCCAAACCTAGCCACAGGTCTGAAACTGCCTCTGGGTCTGAAATGAAAGTTAGGAACCGTCAGAGTGGGAGGAAGCAGACCCGGTCCCTAATCATCTCTCTCCTCTGCAGTCAGCAGTGGGCTTTGATTACAAAGGAGAAGTGGAGAAGCATGCATCTCAGAAAGGCAAGTACCCAGCACCTGGGCCACCTGGCTGGCCTCCTCCCCTTGCTCTCAGCTCCCTTCCAGCAGCTTGTCATGGCTCCCTGCCTCAGCTCTCCACTGTTTGGGCCATTTTTCAGTTCCAGTTATGAGCTGGCTTCTTTGGTTCTCCAATTCCTGCCATGAGCTTGATCAAGTCTGGCTAATCCCTTCATTCCCTGGTTGAAGATTAAATATTCTCCTGTGTCCTAGATTTTTTTTTTTACCTTTAAAACTTAACCCACACCTTTGATGAGGAAACAGAGAGTGAACTGTCAGTGGCTTGAGGCTATAAACCAGAGGTTCTTGTGGGAGACAATTTTCAGGTTTCCTAATGGCTTTATCCAGCATGACCTATTTTGGTGAGTGTTCTATGTGTGTTAGGACTAAAGAGTATATTGTATGGTTTAGGATAGAGTGGTCTTAAGGGCTAAGTTGGTCTTAGTGACAAATTTATTTGGATCTTCTATAATTTTCTTGATGGTTCTTTTTATTCAAGAGATTTAAATTTTCAATAATGACCATAGATTTGTCTGTTTATCTTGCCATTTCTCTTGGGTTTTGCTTCATGAACTTTGATTCTACTAGCAGATTTATACCAGTGTACATATTCCTGATGGATGATGTTGTGTCCCTTTTGCCTTTTAGAATGCATTCTCTCTGGACGTCTACTGTGTGTTGTGTCCATGCTACCTTTCTTATGCTGTTCTTTGCACATATGTATGTTCCTTGTGTGGACTTGCTCCTGTGTGTGGATGCACAAGCATGTATGTCCTCAGGCATGCGGAAGCCAGAGGTCAATGCTGGGTGATTTCTTTGATCACTGTCCTCCTTAACTATGGAGACAGGGTCTCTCCTTGAACCTGGAGATCACAGATTTGACAAGACCAGCAGCTCACCAAGCTCCAGGCACCTTGTCTCTGCCTCTGCTGCTCTAGAATCACAAGTGTACACTGTCACACTTAGCTTTGTGTCTGGGCACTTGGGACCCGAACTCAAGTCCTCATATTTACATGACCCTCCTTCCCAGCTCCCATACCCACTCTTGAATAGATTTTAGAGCCACAGACCCTAGGTCCTAATCCCAGTCCATTAAGTTTTGACTTTACAGCACTCGGGGCTTCTATGATGTCTGCTCACAGTCATCCTTGAACTTGTGTGCTCCAACTCTTGTGTTTCTTTCTGGAGACAGGGTTATTTCATCCTTCCCTATCTTCCTTCTTTCCATCCTCCTCTTGTTCCTGTTCCTTTTCCTCCTCCTCTCCCTCCTCATCTTCCTTTTTGACTTTTACTACTTAGAAAATGACTATCTTCAGCTGAGATTTCTCTGTTTCTCTGGGGTGGAGGAACAGCACACATCTCCTATGTCTGTGTTTTACCCCAGAGATCACGCCTCACATTCTCTACACATAGCCTTTCCGTGAAGAAGGGAAAATACTGAGGGGGTCTTCCTGTCTTGGGATGGAGGTGAGGGAGTCGTCTCTCTCTGGGCTCTGAGCCT